ACTTTGATTAATTGCTTACATTTTATCCACGATTTGTAATCATTTTTGTTTATTCAATGAAGGAAAGTAAAGCGAGATCGGGAAGATAAATAAGAGCGAGTTCTATGAAAACTCATTCTCGATCCGGTTCTTCGAGGAAGCGTTTATTAATCACGTAGAATCACATCATCGATCGTGAAAAATTTTATTGCGTAATGTAAACTCGTTCTCCATCTGTCGTAATAATATTCGAACATCTGGAATATCGTGAAACTTCGTATCCAATGTACATTTCAATAATCAGAAGAGAACTTTAATCATTAATAATTTTCAATTTTACCTTTTGAATTTGTAAAAATTCGATTACGAATGAATTATCAATAAGATGGCGATATTCTCGTTCTACATGTGAGAAAAAAAATAAAAAAAAAAACAGAAAAAATTTTATCATTTAAAATTTTATTTTCGAGAAAATCGAATTATCAAAAATTGTACGGTAGCAATTTGGTAGGTACACCGATTTCAACCTTCTTCGATCTGGATAAGAGAGTGATAATCGGTAGATCAGACGGGATGATCATCTGGCCTCGAAACGTGCCCCTGTTAGGCGAGCATTACGCAATTCAAATATTATTCAAAGGCTAAAAGCTAGGGGGGAGGGCGCAGATGACGTGGAAGGGGGAAACCAGAGGGGTGAAATGTGTACGTGCGAGCAGCCACAGGGGTATTATGTTACCGGAAAGATGGACCTGGATAAGGATACTACCAGTTTCCTTCCTCTTCGGATTTTCTTCATCATCGTTCAATCCATTTTTTCCAAAATTTTATATCCAACTTTTAAGTAAATACGAAGACATGTATTAATTTCTTACTTATCATTTATCGATCGTTTCTTCTTCTTCTTTTTTTTTTTAATATCTTCGTGTTATGCGAGATTTTAACGAGCTACCTGAACAGAAGACTAAAAAAAAAAAAAAAAGTATCCAGATCAGGATCCAGCTGTATTTGAACTTATCTGATTTCCACATCCGATTACACGGTAGAACGCCGTCCCAACTTCTTCTCCCGAGCAAATATTCGTCTCCCCGTAGCATCCTCCGTACGTATAATTGAATCTTCGCAAACACGGAGGTCTCCACGAGCCTAATAACAATTTTCCTATAACCGAGCTTCGAGGCGAACGGGAAAAAAAAAAAAAAAAAAAGAAAAATGCTTTTAAGTGGCTCTAACAAGAATAAAGCCATTGAGACCCGGTATTATCAAACAAGCGATACATTCCAGTAGCCATTAACCCATGCATGGTCACCCATCCTCGTGCCCA